TCTCGCCGCTGGAGCTGACACGCTGGGGGCCCCTACCCGGCATTCTGCCCTGCTGAGCTCCAGGGGACGCGTGTGCGCGGTCAGACGGGGAGGTTAGAACCATGATCCCGAATTCACCTGTCGCTTCCCTGCAGGTGCGAAGTGAGTCCGCTCTGGCGACAGTGGAGTCGCCCTTGAAGTTAGGATCCGTGGCCATTTGCAGCGAGGTCCGGGTGTGCGGAAGGAGCACAGCGGAGGGCTGCCGGGGAGTGGGGTGGGAGGGTGGGGAGTGTATTCATTCCCATCAGCTCTTCTCGCTGCAGCCACCCCACCACCAGGAGCCCTGCATCTGATGAAGTGGGGTTTACCCACGAACGCTGACGCCAACTAGATGTGTCAGGCTGCGTCTGCACAGCTGCGTTATTCCGGAATAACGCCAGTTCTTCCCAGCTGACGTAGCGCCCGTCTACCCAGCGCAAACATTCGGAAAAACAGGCTTCTTCCTCCGACTCCTGGAGGCCTCATTGTACGAGGAGGACGGGCAGTCGGAGGAAGAGCGCCCTGTTTCGAAATGACGGCTGCAGAGACCTAAGCTTTTTTGACCTAAGCGTATGCAATAAGCGGTGCTTTATTTCGAGGTCAGCCCTGCTGTGTAGACAGGCCCTGAGTCTCTACGGTGCCGCAGGACTCCCCGCTGTTTACACCGATGTCTGTTGGTCTGTAAACAGTGGATATAACCTGCAGGAGTTCTCAGTTCTGGGAGCCATTGGTGTTTGAAGGGGGAAGGGAAACAGCCTGTAAATTGGGTCAGCAAAATGCTTTGATTCCAACCCTCGGGCTGAGCTGCTGCCAGTAAATTGGGCAGGGAAATCAAATGCAGTTTGCTCATTTGCCTTTGGGAGTGGCAAAACAAAACGGCCACTAGCGTGAGAAGTGGGACCAGGCCGCTGTGTGCGGGACAGAGACTGCCGAAGGGGGAACGTGGGAAGGAAAATCACACCGTGAATGGTTGAGGCCCTGATCGTGCGAACACACATACGCTTAGCTAAACGCCAGCCTGCCATAAACTAACGCGAACCAACCTCGCATTCCTCCTCTTGCTGGCTTATTTGCTTTTGCGTGGCCTTCCGCGGGGCCAAAGGAAGGAGACGGGTTCGTTCTGCAAACACAACGCAGCCCGGCGGTGTTTGGGTGGCACATCATGGTGCCCCCTGTGCCGCTCTTAGGACAAAATCTGGCTTCCCCTCAGGGCCACCTGGTGGGCATGGGGCCTCGCAGCTTGGCAAGCAATTTCAGTGTAAGCAACATGCCTGCCTGCTCCCCTCCTGTTTTTTGCACCTGTCCTTTAAGGTTAGGTTTTGTGGCTTCTTCCTACGGCGGCCCATTTCAGGCGGCAGCTTTATGGGAAAGGCAGCAGCTTGTTCACACAGCGCCGTTCCAGCTAACACGTGCTTGCGCTGGCGCCGGTCCTCGCTGTTTTCCCCCCTGGGCCTGACTCTGGACGGCTTTCGCCCCGGCTCATCGGCAGAGCTGGGGCCAAGTGCTTGGGAGAAGGAAGCTCCGCTCTCTCTGCTCTGCGTGTGTTTCAGATCACTTTCTACGAAGACAAGCACTTCCAGGGCCGTCGCTATGAGTGTGACAGCGACTACCTTGATTTTCACACCTCCCTGAGCCGCTGCAACTCCATCCGCGTGGAGGGCGGCGCTTGGGTGGTCTACGAGCGGCCCAACTTTGCCGGGAACATGTACGTCCTGACCCACGGCGAGTACCCCGAGTACCAGCGCTGGATGGGGCTGAATGACCGCCTGGGCTCGTGCAAAGCCATTCACTTAGTAAGTCCCACCTTCCAGTGCTCCCCAGCCCTCCCTTGCAGCTGCTCCATTACCCAGTGGGTGGGCTGTGCCCTGCTGTGCTTGAGAACGAGGTAACATCCCCACCGGGGACAGTTTCTGCATCCCAGAAGGTTGTGATCTGAGGGCAACCCCCTGGGGACAGGAAGAGAGCGGCAGTGGACGAAGGGCACAGAAGGGTGATGGGAGCGGGCGCCAGAGCCGCCGGATTTCCCTCTGAAGCTGGGGGGCTCCGCGCAGAAGTAATCCCCTGCCTCTGTTCTCAGAGCTGCCCCTTCCCGCTGGCTCGCACAGGGCCGGGACCCGGCTGCAGGGCTAGAATTAAACTACAGGCCAGCTGGGGCCTGGTTTAGAGGCTTTGGCCTCCCACGCTGCCTTCACCCAAGCCAAGGTGTCCGGCTGGCTCCGGG